AATGCTGAGGGGAGGATTTAAAAAAATTCTTCTTGGGGTTTAATGTGGGTCTTAGATCTGTAGTTTGATGCTTTCGGTCTGTCCTGGAACGTTCTTAGTGGTTATCATCTCTTTTTGTTTTGTTTTTTTTATTATCCTCACCCGAGGACACTTTTCCATTTTTTTGTTCAGATAGAGTGGGAGGGAGAGAGAGAGAGAGAAAGAGAGAGAAACATCGATGTGAAAGGGACACATCAAGTGGCTGCCACCCACACGATCCAACCAGGGCCAGGGACAAACCGCAACCGAGGTACATGCCCTTAGCGGCAACCGAACCTGGGTCTCTCTGGACCGCAGGCCAATGCTCTATCTAACTGCTGAGCCAAACCGGCCAGGGCATCTCTTTAAATATCACTTCCACTCCATATTTTTCTCTCTTCTCCCAGAACTCTTGTTACATGTATATTAGACTTTCTCACTCTGTCTCTTATTTATTTATTTATTTTTCCTTTTTGTATCTTCCCTCTGGGATGGTTAATTTTATATTTCAACTTGGCTGGACTAAGGTGCCTAGATCCTTGGTCAAACACCAGCTAGACATTGCTGTGGTGGTATTTTCAGCTGGGGCTGACACAGAAATCAGTAGGCTTTGAGTAAAGCAGAGCACCCTCCATTATTCAGGTGGGCCTCATCTAAGCAGTCGATGGACCTAGGAGCCAAGACTGAGGTCCCTTGAAGAGGAAGGAATTCTGCCTACAGACTACCTTTGCATGGACAGAAACATCAACTCCAGCTGGAACTTTCAGCCTCACAGCTTGCCCTGCAGATTTCAGCCGTCCCAGCCCCCACAATCACCTGAGCCAATTCCTTAGACTAGATCTCTTTTCCCGCAGTGAAATGAGCATCTCCCATGGGTTCTGTTCTCTGGAGAACCCTGACAGTACATCCTCTCTGTCTCGGTGTTGCATTTTCCGCATCTTCTTCAGAATGAGGTTCTCATTTCCTCCTCAGCTGTGCTTAATCTGCAATCAAACCTACCCTCTCTTACACACATTGTTCTATTTTCTTTATTTCTGCAATTCCCATTTGGTTCTTTTCTTTTTCTTTTTTTGCTTCCATCTCTCCTCCTACATTTTCCATATTGTTTATTAAACCTCTTTTACCCTGTTGAGCAGGGTTATATGAAAGTCTGTGTCCATGAACCCTGATCTCTGGAGCTGTGGCTGCTTCCATCATCTGTTGTCTGCTGGTCTTTGTTAAAGTGGTCTTGTCTCCTCCCATGCCTACTTGTTTTTGTTGCATTTGCAAATTTTCCGTGGGCTTATTTTGCTCCAACTCTTAGTAGGATCATCTTAATCTAAATTCAAGAATAGAGATGATTTTAAGCTGCTCTATGAGCCCCGAAAGGGTCTGCTCAGGTAGGGTTCAGCCTGACTGACCTATTCCACTAAGTGCAGCTGCCACCCCACCTGTTTCCTGAACCTCCTCTTCCAGTCCTGCCCTGCACCCCCTTCTCTTTTTGTACCTCCCCACACGTCCCTTCTCTGGTCTCCAGGACTTTGCTCAGATGTCACCCTCTCAGATCTACTCTGATTAGAGTGAGAGTCATTTCTTCATCTCCTCCTTGCATTATTTTTCTATAAAGCATTTATATTTTGTTTGTTGTCCTCACTGGAATGTAATCACCCAGGGAGTATTGATTTTTGACCATCTTATTCGCTGCTCTATTCCCAGTGCAGAATTGTCGCTGGCACATCACCAAGATCAATACGTATTTGTTGAATGATTAAATGAGTGCCTGGCTTATGTTGACCAACCTCTTAATCTTTGGATAAATGAAATGTATTGACAATGGAAGAATTTTCCTTAAATGGTAGAATTCTCAGGGACAATGTAATGATGTTTGACGTTCAGTTCTTTTGTGAAACAATTCCTTGAAATCATAGTGAAAATTAAATGAAACTTAGCTAATATACAAATATTTTAAAAAGAATTCCTCAGCCCTGACCGGTTTGGCTCAGCAGTTGGACCCTAGGCCTGCGGACCAGAGAGTCCTGGATTCGGTTTCTGTACAAAAAGAAAAAGAAAAAAAGAAAAAATTTCCCCAGAAAACTAAAACAAGGGTTTTCTATCATTTTAATTTTTCATAAGCTATGGGCTAATTTGCTTAGGGAGATAAGTGATGATTTATTTGAATGTCTTATTAAATAGTTCTTTGTTGAGCCCTGGCCAGTTTGGTTCAGCGGTTAGAGCGTCGGCCTGCAGTCCAGAGAGACCCGGGTTCGGTTCCCGCTAAGGGCACGTACCTTGGTTGTAGTTTGTCCCTGGCTCTGGTTGGTCGTGTGGGTGGCAGCCACTTCACGTGTCCCTTTCACGTCGATGTTTCTCTCTCTCTCTCCCTCCCACTCTATCTGAACAAAAAATGGAAAAGTGTCCTCGGGTGAGGGGAAAAAAAAAGTTCTTTGTTGAATCTAAGTTTCTGATTTTCATGCAAAGATATTAGGATTGTTTTATATTTTTCTATCAAGATATATGATAGTCTCCTCTCCCCGAATTCCTTCAAGGGGACAGAGGATACATTTCTACCTCTGGTGACTGTAGGACAAAGGAACCTGTCAGATATTTTTTTGAAGCTCTTATGAAAAATTTATGAAAAATGTGTAGGCTATTCCATAATATTTCTGTGCTTGTCTTAATATGATAATATTGCAAATTACTTTCTATTTGCATAAAAGAAAATGTTTGCTTCTACCCACTGGGTTATTTCGCAAGATACCATTAATGATCATCACTATCAGACATTACTCCTGAATTACAGAGGCTGGAGAGCCCGTGTCGGATTCCGCAGCTTCGTGTGACAATATTTTGGAAAGTCAAACTCACATCGAAATGTGGATGTCAGGGGCAGCAGGTCTCCAGCACACCTACTGCCGCTCCCTAGGGAGGCGCCTGGAACCAGCAGGGAGGTGGTCGTGTGCAGTGGAGAGGTTCCGGTCGGCAGACGTTTCCATAAGCACCACACTTCTCTCTAACAAATTCCTTCCTTCTGAAACATGAAATCTGAAAAGTCTTCGGACACACTGGCTCGTCATTTTTACTATTAGGGGAATGTGTGCCTTGAAGGAGATGACGGAGGTTCTCTAGTTATCACCGACCCTGTTAATCTTGTCACATGAATGTGACCACGGGTCTTGACTCATAGCTCTAACATTCAATTCCTTTGGCCCATCTCGCAGATTTCATTTTTGTTGCCAAAACCTTGCCCTGGGCTGTAGGACTAGTCACACGCTGAATCTTCAGTGTGGACTGAAAATGTTCAGTGTTGAAAATCACATCTGTTAAGTATGACATGGACATGAGCAAAGACGTCATCTATCCTGTCCAGTTCTCCCCTTCTGTTGCGATTTTTTTTTTTTTTTTTTCCTGATGAAGAAAAATAAAAACTGAGCCTTGAAGTCGAAGGCTCAGGTGGCCCAGCCCTCAGTTTGGTAGGTCCAGACCCAAAGTCGGTTTCCATTCATTACATTTTTCTACAGAGATGAGTCTTCAAAGCACAGATTTTTGTTGTCATTCTCCCCATTTCCGCATCTTTTGGAATACACGGAGACGGACCAAAGGCCAGCCTTCAGCGTGGCTCTCCCCAAACACGCCGCTCTCGCTGAAGGATCCGGGGTGCACAGCAGCCGTGATGGGGGCTGGCGTTCCTCAGGTTTTGCCCATAGGTTGTGGCTGGTCTATGCAGGATGGGGTGGAAGTAGGCTTACTGTTGTGAGGACGCAAAATACAGAGTTTATCCTTGTATTATTATTTGTTAATTATTGTGTTATTGCCATTCGAACAACTGTAAACCTACTTTTGCCTCACCCGGTATATTGTTGGGGTGAGTGGAGAGGTCTCATTTCCTGAATACTTGCTTAGTGTAAAGTGCTTTTAATGAATTATTTCTTTTGGTTCTCACTACCACCCTCATGGGGTACTATTATTGCCCTGATTTTATAATTTAGAACAATTTTATAACCTTGGGAATAAATCTTAGGCCCAACTCAGCCACACACTAAAAACAGCTCTTCTGTCTTCCTGTTTTCTGTCTCAGATAATCTGGTCTGAGACGTAAACCAGTCGCTGCAGCCCGGCCAGCTCCTCTCTGTCTGCAGCACCCTCAGCGCACTGCCTGGTTTTGCAGAGGTGCAGGGGCCCTTCAGGGACTGCTCCTGCTCCAGCCTGGGTGCTGCCTCAGGGGTGCGGTGTCCTGCAGGCCCAGACGGGGCTTCCGCATGCCCCCGCCAGTGCCAGGAAGCTCCCACGGTCCTGCGTGCGGAAGGCCAGCAATCCCAGCGGAGGTGTTGCCTTCCCAAACTGCTCCTTCCTAGTGATCGGAGAACATGAGAACTTCCAAGGCCAGGTGACTCCTGATCCTCACAACTGGCCGTGCTGGGCGGCCTGGGGTGGCCATCCCCATCTTGTGGTGGGAGCAGGATGCCGAGGCTCTGATGACATGCGCAGTATGGGAAGCTGGGAGTAGGATGGGGAATTATGCTTCTGCCCAGAGCTCGCTGGCTGTCTCTGCTGCCTCTGAAATGTGCTTCCCAAGTGGGTGCTAGCATCTAGCCGAGTGGAGGACACAGGGGCCCCTGAGTCTAGCACCCCACCCAGGGCAGCCGGGCCCTGCACTATCCCCCGTCCTCCAGCCTTGCACCCACCTGGCCCTCCATTGGAAAGGCTTCTACTGACCGGTAGGTTGCTGTCCTGTTGGACATGCACGGACGAGTTTTCACTTCCACTGGGCACTGTGGGCACTGCAGCTCGAGTGACACCAGGATGCACCAATGTGGTGCGTGCGTCCCACGTACATTCTCCGAAACGCGGCCCCCCCTGCACTCAGTTTTGGATTGCTGCAATTTTGCTCACTACATCTTAAACATCCAGTGGCCCAAATGGATAAAATCTGCCCGATTTGGCCTCTTTGGGACCTGCCTGAGCCAGCCTGCTGGGTGTGTGTCTTTGAAGACGAGTTCTCTTACCACTGAGGAGGGGCCGGTTGTGCCTGTAAGAGGCGGGCAGCTGGCCGATGTCCTCGGTCCTGTGGCTCATCACCCGGCAGAGGTGGCCTGTGTGGTGCAGGCTGCCCACGATGATGCTGTGTAGGTACACGGGCTCGATGAAGTGGCAGAGGAGGGCGCCCTGCAGTCCCAGCACGTTCCACCTGGCGGGAGAGGATGGGGGTCAGTGCGTTTGCCCACCTGGGTGAGGACAGAGGGGGCAGCCTCAAAGGTTCCCCCCGACCCCAGGCAAACTCCAGCTGGGCCTGTTGTGCACGGTGCCTTTCTTCCCTCTGCTCTGCTCCCGAGGTGTCCCTGTCCCCGCCGTGCAGACTGATGGGAGCCATCCGCGCTGGCCTTGCACCGCTAATGATCTGAGCTTCCTGACTACTGCGGACAGGGGCTGACGGTGGCCCTGCATTTTAGTAAGCATGGCCTCCGCTTCTGGGAATGGATTGCTAGACAGGCTGGAAGCTACATATGCTCTCAGGGACTTGAAATTAGACTAAAAGAGATAAAAGACACTCTGTCCCCGAAGTGAATCTGCATTTTTCTTTATATGCACCGGGAAATAGCAGAAGTGTAGTTTATTTCAGTTTAGGGGTAATGCTCTTTTCTCTCCCTGTGTCCTCAGCAGTCAGTGTGACCTATGGTGTTGGAATTAAATGGCATTAATAAGTGACCTTGTTTTGCTCTGGATTTTAGACACCGGATCAGAGATGAAGGGCGAGTCCATTTTCTCTGAAATAAATAAGCACCGGCTGATTGTTTTTGCTTCTTCAAGCAAAGATGACAGGGGCATTTAAAGATTTTTTTCCCCCTCCCTAAATTTCTGCGGTGCAAGGTTACACCATTCTGTGGTTTCCACGCGAACGTGTTTAAAGCCCACTTGCCATCAGCAGTGAGCATTATGCAGCTAATTTCTTACATCGTTGTTCTTCTCATTAATTAACATTTCTCCACGTTAGAGCGGTTATGGTGGTGCCTCCGCGCTCACGTTTCTTTTCATGATTAATAAGGAGTCATTACGTTTTCCCTTTCCTGAAGCAGTCAATTAACACAGAACCCTTTCCATTAATTACTGAGTGTTCCAACCAGCAGGCCCTACCTGGAGAGCAGTCTGCTCCGAGAACCTGCGACACCCTTGGCTTTAAAAAGTTCTCTTTAAATTTTATCCCAGAAACACGAGCCGTTTAGCCGGCGACATTAATCTGCCTCGGAAGCATTGTGGCGAATGAGGGGCATCTTTCAATCTCATGCAAGAAAAGGCAGCCATCTGGCCGGCGAGGACGGCGCCTCCCGCTCTCCCCGCGCACGCAGGTCGTTAAAGCAATGTGTTCATCTACATAAAACTCAAATGGAATATAAAAGGTAATATTTATATACAAACAATTTAGTCCTACAATTTAAACAGTCGTTGGTTTTATGAAACATTTACTTTATCAGATTTGCATAGCTTCACTTAAACAAAATAAGGGTGGTCATTTCTGCAAGTCAGGCCCTTTCTCTCAGAAAGGAACGAAGGGGCTGGTCCTCCACGTGTTTGTAATTTTGCCAAAGAGTAAATGTCAGAAAGTTTTGGAGGAGCAGACATTTCTGAAAGTGACGCAGGAACGTATTACAGATATCGGGGTCCCCTTCCTTCGGCAATCCTGTTTCTGCACAGACCTATGTTTTCACCTGGACGGTACAATCTGGTATGGCGACCTGGGCTCAGGGAGGTGACTTCAGTGAAATCCCCACAAGGAGTTTGTGGTGCCCAAGCTGTTCTGGAAGGAACGACACCCATGTGTCCGAGTGGTGATTATGGGGTTTGGCTCCTTCCCTTAAATTGGAAACTGGAATTTCTGGGCAGTACTAGGACCGGCCAAAAAGTGAGGGAAAATTCAAGAGTCACCTTTTGGCATTTTGAATACCTCCCTTTCAGTTTTGAGGAGGCTGGGAAGGTATGTCCACAGAAAAAAGGACATGTTTAAAAGTAAGGCTGTTTCACTGTAAAAGTTCTTGGCATTCATTTTTTAATTTTGGCCCAAATATCGGCTTTCTTGTGTTTGCATGTGTCAACGAGAGCAGGTCTGCATCAGGAAGCCTACGCGTGGTGGATTTGCGGTTACAATGATATGTTACCATTTATGGGGAAGGATTCTGGGGTGCGGAGCTAAGTGGGTGTCTTATTATTTCTCAGCTAGTTAGTGAAGTTTTAACACTTCTTATCAATTAAAAGCAGGGAACTGGATGTTTCCCCCATTGGTAAGGAAGTACTTTCTTGAAATGAGCTATGTGTCGAACATGCAATTAGTATTCCCAGAAGAGATATCACTGAACTTAAGTAGGCCACTTTCGTACTGGCTTCGAACAGGACTTCTGAAACATATTTGAGAGGTTCTGATTCTACGGGATTGTCAGAAGACAAATAACTTCTATATCTGGTTTCCTGCTAATAACCTTTACAATAAAGAGAAAATCAGCCTTCTCCTTGCCTGGCTATAGGAATTTAAAGGCATTCAGCTAACACCATCAGTAAAACCAAATATCTTCTTGAATATAAACTGGAAATTTTCAGCATTCAGGATCGAATGAAAAAATACCTCTCCTATTGTTCAAATAGCCAATACTACTGCAATGTTGACAGAGAAAAAAAAAATTCCATGTCTAGTTTTCAATATAGATAATCCCTAAGTAAATATATTTTTTGTCTGTTTGTCAATCACTGAAATACCACAGAGAAGTCGGGAGAGATCTTGGGAAAAGGCTGCCTTGCTTTAACCAAGAGAAGCAGTCTCCTCGCTCTGTTCAAACCTTGCCTCCAAGGGTCAATGGAAACAATCTTGGGGGGTGGGGGGCGCCTCTGTAGACGGTCACCACCCATCTGTGGCTGGGACGTAGACAGAGAACGGTGGTTACTGGTGCATGTTTTGAGTGATTGCTCTTCTGACTAGTGCTTTTGCCACTTGACATGGCCCGGAAAGGAGACGCAACTCTCCAAAGTCTCAGTGAAGTCTGTGGTACCTCATTCAAGTACTATAAAAAAAAATATATATATATTTAACCTGGCATAAGAACAGACACAGAGAGCAATGGAACAGCATGAAAACCCCAGAAATGAACTCTAATCAATGTGGTTAAGGACCCCAGGTCCTGCAAGGACTCAGGCATTACCCCACAGCAGTGGTTTCCAATTTCGGTGCACGTTGGGCTCATCTGGGGGCCTTTGGCAATCTCCTGGTGCCAGGTTCCCCCAGACTCTGATGGGATTGGTCTGGGGTGCAGTGTGGGCCAGTGTTTTCTTGCTCCAAGGTGATTCTAACGGGACCCCAGGCTGAGAATGGCAGCAAAACACCCAGCACAGATTTCGGAGTCAAAAAATTAGGTGGAACTCAAGTCCCAACAGAAGTCAGTTGTGCTATCCTTGACCACTTCCTGCTCCTCTGAGTCTACAGCAGGAGCCCCGACTCTGGGGCGGGGCTGGCGGGTGATTCTGATGGGCTCTGTACTAGTCCTAGGGTCAAACGAGCAACATAACTTCTCCATTAAGTAGCAGCCTCCACCGGGTGCCGTCTCTCACTGCGAGGACTGTGGTCTAGGGGTTGACACTCTTCCCCTTAGATCCTCTCCCACCCCGTCTCACAACTTCTTCCCTCACTTCCTTGACCGAGACAGGTAAGAATGCCAGGTCAGAGGCATTTCTGCACAAATGGTCCTTTCCGCTTCCAGTCTCCCGATAGCTTTTCCTTGGCCTTTCTGAGCAAAAGAGAAGACCAGTAACCCTTTCGCCCGGTAATATCACTGCTAGGAAATTATCCCAGGAAATACTCTCAATAAAAGGCCAGTATTTATATAGCAGAGTCACGAGAGGATTGCTTTTGATTGCAAAGCAAACTAAACAAAACAAACAAAACTGGAAATAATCGAATTGCTTCTTAGTACAGAATGGTTAAGTAAGTTATGGTGCATTCATAGGAAGAATGTAGATATGCCTGCCCTCAGCCTGCCTGGTGCTGGAGGCATGAGTCACCATGTTCCCAGGTGCCCCTGCTCTGCCCACCTAGTCTCCTCGCTGCACCTTCTCTCGGCTGGACTGGTCTCTCCTCACTGCCAGCCCGCTGGGGCCTCTCTCCTCACTCCCCATGTAGGCCGTGAACCGGCTGAGTTAGGGTATTGCCCTGGGTGCACCACCCAGCCCTCACCCGGCGGTCACCTCCGGTATCACCTCCTCTTGGGTCCTAGCACTGTGCAGCGCAGGGTCCCCAGGCGTCCGCGAAGGGAACCCTGGCTGCCAGTCAATGCTCACATGCCAGCCACGAGAGTGTGCCCCCGAGAGTGAGTCCTGTAGCCCAGGGAGCAGCCATGGGGTGCTAAGGTGCTCTGCACACCATGCAGGTTTACAGCAAAACAAATGACCTCTTTCAGGCTGCTAAGCTTGGGTTGGTTTGTTACACAGGAGATAAGTGGTGTGGAGTCTGTTCTGTCTGATCCATGGCCACCAGGAACTCCTCAGGAAATTCACATGAGTCATGGCCGCAAAAGCCACCCGAACAGTACAGTCCTAGGGCGGATGTTTGTGTTGACAGTGGAAGTGGGGGGACGGGTACCCAGGAAGCGAGTTCTTCTGCAGGTGGTGAGCTAGGGTCAGGAGAATGTTGTGCTACTTTAGGTTATTTTTGGCTGAAAAGGATGACTTCCACTTCACACACTGACTCATTTCTCATCTCTAAATCCTACCTAAAAAATGTCCCTCTCTTGAGGTGACCTCTCTGGCTAAGTCTACGCCCCCCGCTCCCGCCACTGTTAAAATGTGAACGTTCTCGGAGGACCAGCAGCCTCACTCGTGTCTAGACTGTTCTCAGTTCTGTCCTTGTTCCCAGGTCCTGTCAGTTCCTCCTCATCCCAGACTCCCGCGGGGGTGGGGTTCTCTAGGGGGTGGTGATGGTGACGACTGTTCGGGATTAGGGAGCCTTTTCTGCTCTGAGTGTGTGGTTTGGGGAAGGGCCCCTGCGGACCTTCACCACCTGCTCTGGCCGCTGTAGAGCCCCGGGCCCTCAGTCTATCCTCAGATGTGCTGCACTGGCCTCTTGATTCCTGGGGGACAAACTGCACTTGTCCTAAGAGATGCCTTTTTATTTCTTTTGTGCAAATAGAAGCCACGGAAGGGAGCTCTGACCTG